TACATTCTTTGAGTTGCACACCAGCCTTTTCTGAATTGTAGGGAATTTTCTGAGCTGTTCCTCTCCTGTCTTCAGGAACTCACTGCCCTCTCAGCTTCTTATCTAATCTTTTGAGTTACTGTTGTCAGTTTGATGCCTTATCAGACAGATCTAAACAGAAATGGTGGAGCCTGACCTTCTATACTACTTAAGCCAAGTAAGCTTTGAAGACTGTGGACCTTTTCCAGATAAGAAATAGGCTCAATGAGAAGTGAGTTGTCCATCAGACACTGGGTCAGTCATCGCTGTAGAGTCTCTTATCAGCCCTCCCCTGAGTTTCACAGGCTGTAAATCTTCATGAAAAGAGACAGCCCGTCTTTATTCCTAGGAGCTGTTGATAGATGTGAGCTGCTGGAAACACTTCTGGTTAGCAGCACATTGTTTTCATTCTGCCATGTAACCAACTCATAGCTGACCCGCCAGCGCCAGCAGGTTTTTAGAGGCTGTAAATCACACAGGAGGAGATTACCTGCATTTCTCCTGTGGAGCAGCTGGCAGATTCGTACTGCCTGCCTCTGCGTTGGCAGCGCAGCTCCTTACCACTAGGCCACCAGATATTAGCAGTGTAATTACTTAAAATTAGGAACTGCCCCACGTCTGGGCCGCACAGCTCCCTCTACTTCTGTCCAGTGACTCCCCAGGCTCTCGCTTAATTGAGTACATTTCATTGGGGGTGTAGAACCCTGTTTCTTTTTCTGACTCAGTCGCCAACCCCACACCCCTGCCTGTCTCCACCCCCCCCCCAACCTTTAACACTTCTAGGCTCCCCCAGCACTTCTGCTGGCAGCCCCCCTCTCTGTCTCTCACTTCACCAGGAAGGTCTGGGTGTATGTCATTGCTGTTGCCACTCCAAGTGTGTCTCACACCCAAGCTGCCGCCACCCGAATCCTGCCCCCAGGGAGGAAGGGGGAAGACCAAGAGAGAGGAGAACATAGGGTCAGAGGGAGACTCGGGGTGGTCTCTGCACCCAGCAGTGAGACAGGGCAGAGGGGGCGAGAGAGGACAGAAGACAGATTAGGAGGGAAGAGAAGCCTAGGACTGAAGAGAGGAGGGAAGAGACTGATGGGGTGGAGAGAGACTCAATATTAGGAGAAAGAGGAGAGGAACAGAGACCCTGATGTGGAGAAATTAAGACACACCAGGAGGGGACTTTAAAAAATACAAAGAAGAGACAGACAAGGAGGGAGAGATGGAGACACAGAGGAGGGCAGACAGGTCTGGCAGGAGACAGAAGGGCCCTTAGGAGACAGGAAATGTCACCCCCCTCCCCCAAGAGGCAGCCCTGTCTCAGTGAGGGATGCGCCAAGTGTACATCTGGCACCTGGTCCAGCTAGTGGATGTTGGGAAGTCCTGCTCCTGGGAGCCTGTCATGTGTCCTTTTCTGTCCAATTCCTTCCAGATCAGGCCCTTTGCTACTCTATGCACGAGCTTGTAGTGGGGACCCAGAGTGTGTGTTATTGGGGTGGATTTGGGCTTCTACCACTGCCCCAGTCTCTGCAGGAAACACTCTGCCCCTGTTCACTGGGCTTAACAGAGGCAGTGACTGGGTGAGCTGGCTTTTACAGACCCTCCCAGCCACGTTCCTGGGACCTGTGTTCGTATAGTTGGGTTGGGGACCCTGGGAGGAGATTGACAGAGCAGAGGGAACAGGGAGTCATGGAGGTGGGGGTGGGAGGGGTATAGATCGTGCCAGGTTCAGGGACAGACATCTGTGGAGCCTAAGCTTTGGCAGCCCAACTATACCAGTATAGCATTGTACCCTCACTTCTGCTCTCTGGCTCTAAACTGCTCTTTGCTGCCCCCTTTGCTTTCCTTTGAGGGAGTTCTAGTAGTCTAATCGTGACCCAACAGAGTGTGGAAACTGCAGAACAGTATCATTAATTTCACATGCAAGCAAGATTCTACTGAAGATTATCCAAAAACGACTGGAACAATACATCAGCAGAGAACTGCCAGAAGTCCAGGCTGGGTTTAGAAGAGGTCGTGGTACTAGGGATATTGTAGCTAATGTTAGATGGATCTTAGCTGAAAAGCAGGGAATAACAGAGGAATGTATATCTATGTTTTATTGACTATGCAAAGGCGTTTGACTGTGTGGATCATAACAAACTGTGGCTGACTCTGAGAAGAATGGGAATCCCAGAACATTTAATCGTGCTAATGCGAAACCTATACTTGGACCAAGAGGCAGTTGTCAGAACAGAGCAAGGAAACACTACATGGTTCAGAATTGAGAAGGGCATACACCAGGGATGTGTCCTGTCTCCATACCTTTTCAACCTGTATGCAGAACAGATTATCTGGGAGGCTGGGCTCTATGAGGAGAAATGTGAGGTCAAGATTGGTGGGAAATCTATCAATAATCTGCAATATGCAGATGAAAGAACCCTGCTTGCTGAAACTGAAGAGGACCTAAAGTGCTTGCTGCAGAGGGTCAAGGACTGCAGCCTCCAATATGGATTGAGGCTCAATGTCAAGAAGACAAAGATTCTCACCACTGGGCCAATTGGCAGCATCAGGATGGATGGTGAAGAGATTGAGATTGTTCACAGCTTCAGTTTGCTTGGCTCCACAGTCAACACACTCGGCACCAGCAGCCAGGAAATTAGAAGACGTATTGCCATGGAAAAGTCTGCTGTTAAGGACCTCTACAAAGTACTGAAGAGCAATGGTGTCTCTCTGGAGACTAAGGTTCATCTGATACAGGCCATGGTCTTTGCTATCACTTGTTATGCATCAGAGAGTTGGACAATGACTAAGGAGGCTAGAAAGGAGAATTGATGCCTTTGAGCTGTGGTGCTGGAGAAGAGTATTGAGGGTACCATGGACTGCTAGGAAAACAAACATTCATCCTGGAAAGGATCCAACTGGGCTGCTCCTTGGAGGCAAGGATTCTGAGACTTCGTCTAACATATTTTGGACATGTTGCAAGCGGGGTCAGGTCCTTGGAGAAGGACATCATGCTTGGGAGGGTGGAGAGACAGCACAGGAGAGGAAGGCCCCCTATGAGGTGGATTGATTCAGTGACTGGGATAATTGGGATGGGTGTGTCAGAGATGGTGCTATTGGCACAGGACAGAGCAGAGTTTAGGGCTGTTGTACATAGGGTCGCTATGAGTCGCAAGCGACTCAACGGCACATAACAACAAGAACAACAATGGGTAAGATATTGAACCACCAAAGGTGTGATTTGAATCTGTCAGCTGCTCCTTGGGAGGAAGGTGCCAGTCTCCTCCTGTGTGATTTACAGACTGAAAAACCCACTGGAGGGTCAACTGTGGTTTGGTTCTGACTTGATGACTGAGTTTCTTCTTTGTTTGCCCAGTCTTTTTCCTGATCAGGCCTAGAAGAGCAAGGAGTCAGGGCCTTTTGGCAAACTGATAGAGCAGAGAGATCTCAGGCCTGGAGGCTTTGTGATTCACCAGGAATACTCTAGGGTCGGTCTCTGCATTTGTCCTCAGGGTTCATGGATATTTCAGCCCTGTGTTTGCACAGAGAAGGATCTGTCCATTAACCTCTCTGAGTCATGGTTGGCTTGTTTGTAAAACAGAAGGACCCATTCCTGTGTGGCCGTGAAATATGACATCTGGTATATAATGTTCTGTGAGCAGCAAAGCTCTGGGGTACCTTTGGTGACTGGTTCTTAGCCTCTTTGAGGTTTGTCTTCTTCTTTTCTGCTGTGTAACATGGAACAACACTCTGGGTCATTCACTGATTCAGCACTGGATTATTAAACACCATTTGTAAGGAAGCGCTCTTGGCCTAGTCTGTAGGGAGTTGCACTGCCGACCCCATAACACCTCGCTGAAGGTTCAAGCCAGGTTCTTCCAGTCCGGTATAAGAGAGTGAACAAGAAGGTCTAGCAGAGAGTGATAACAAACATCACTAACAAAATACACTCTAATGCTATTGGTCAGGGGACTCGGGTCTGGGGGTCAGGGGTGGGAGGTGCTCTGAGCAGTGGCTTCTGAGCTGCCAGTCCAGAGGACTGAGCGTCCCAGGCAGGGACAGTTAGTCTAAGGCCCTGTGTCAGGAGAGGGCTGCGTGTCTGTAGATATATCAGATGCCCTGTGTGGTGGTGGTCTACCACACTCACTCTGGTCTAAGCTTCTGGCTCTGAGGAGGGTGCTTGCTCTCCTACGTAGGTGGGCCCCAGTGGTTTATAAGTGGGGTTACAGTCTGGTCTGTTCTGTGTTTTGTTTTTTCTTGTGTATACTGTCGAATTGGATCTGACTGGTACAGGAGGAGATTGCCCCTGACCTATGTTTTTAAGTTTTCTCTGGCAGGTACAGAGAGAAATGGTTGTTCGAGACTGTACAGAGAGAGGCCTACTGCATGGTTGGGCCTTGGAGCAAGAGTGGAGACAGGGCAAAGGGGGGACCCTCTCCATTGCCACCCCCCCACCCCCCCATGCCCTGTCCCAGCTGGGAGCACACAGAGACACTGCTCTAGGAAGTCCCTCCCAGTTGCCATGGATTAGGGGGTGGGAGGGTAGGGCTGGCTGCTGGGAGGGAATGTGGCTTTGTGCTTGGAAAACAAAGAACAGAGCTTGGGGCCCTCATCTCCTGGGGGGTGGGGGCAGGCTGGAGGCTGTTGACAGAACCCAGAGGCTAAACTGCACGGGGCTAGGCTGGCAGGAGCTCTCCCCAGGCTTCAGGGAAGGGGTAGGTGCCCAGTTTAGGACCTCAGAGCCCTCCAGGCAAGGCCCATGGGGCCTCTGGGTGGAGATGGGTGAGTAGGGAGGTGGGAGACTCAAGGGGGTATAAGGGATGCTTAAACCCTACCAGCTTGGGAAGTCAAATGGAGAGAATTTGGGCAGAGTCCCCTGGACAGTGGTATTGGGACAGGGAGGGGACAAGGATGGGGCCTGGGCGCTGTGTGTGAAGGATGGGAGGAAGTTAGCTGGACCTCCAGCACCCTGCTGTGTACGACCTGACCTGCCTATTCTGCCTCACCCCCAGCCCCCCCTCTGAGGCCCTATCCTCCTCCCCTCGAGGTGGGGACCCACCAGGATGAGCAAACTGCCCGGGGAGCTGGCCCGAGACCTGGAACGCAGCCTGCCAGCCGTGGCCTCCCTTGGCTCGTCACTGTCCCACAGCCAGAGCTTCTCCTCACACTTCCTGCCCCCACCCCCCGAGAAGCGCCGGGCCATCTCAGATGTCCGCCGCACCTTCTGCCTTTTTGTCACCTTTGACCTACTCTTCATCTCTCTCCTGTGGATCATCGAGCTGAATGTGAGTGGGCATTGACTATGGCACAAAGGAGTTGGGAGACCCCGGTGACCTGTGTCTCAGCCACCTGTCATGTGGGAGGGCACCTTCTCCATGGGGTGATAACCTGGGTAAAAGATAAAGGCAGCAGTTCTCATCTTTGGGATGAAGAAAATGAGGCTCCAAGGGGCTGAGGACTTGCATCCTAAACAGCTGCGTGAAGGAGGCACGATTTGAACCCAGATCTCCAGGCTCCCGAGTTTACAGCTGACAGTTTTCACCATATTGCCCTCTAGTGGACACACCTGGGAGAGGAGGAGAGGGAATATTGCTCTTTGAGATTCTTTTTTCTTTCTGCCTTACATTGCTCTCAGGCTCCAGTTCATTCATTCATAAAGCATTTTTTGAACCCAGCTCTGTAGCAGGCACGTGTTTAATGGCACCATGAAGAGCCAAACAGTAAACCTTTGCAATTTGCCGGGTGCCCAATTGGACTCCAGTGTTCCTCTCCTCAGTCTGACCATACTTTTGGGGAATGCAGTCTGGCTGGCAAGGGGACTTGATCTTCATGCACGGAGAGGGACAAGAGGGGCACCCTGGGCTGGTGCAGCCCTTGCTCATCCTTTGTTGACCATGTGACTTCACACAGGCCTCAGCCTCTCGGACTTCCTTCTTCCCAGTTTACCCTGAGATCTGGGTTACAGGTGGCCTTTCTCAGGTCACAAGCTTGAGTGATAAGAAGACAGTGACTTTCTGATAGAAGTGAAGAGTTTGGGAAGGGGCTGATTCCAGAGTAAAGGGGATATGTTTACTCCTGGGCTTGGTAACATCTGAGGTGGTGTCCCAGTGGAAATGTGCAGGCAGTTGGGGAAGGGTTGGGCAGTGCTCATTCCCACCACATCCTCTCCAGCAGCATGATAGATATTGCCCATTAAGCACAAACCTAATCAATTGATTTGCCACCTGAGGCTCTGTCTGACCCCACCTGGCCCCATTACCCCAGACGGATCATTGGCTGGGAAGATTAAGCACTGCAGTGTGGGGAGGAAGAGAAAATGATGTAGATGGAGGCTCCTAACACCCCGTTTTCCAGCTCTCCCTACTGACAAAGGCTTGGGGTGGGGACAAGGTTGGTGTACTGCCCCCCTCCAGAGTGTCAGGCCCTCTAGCCTGCCCCTTCCTTGGTAATGTGCCCCTATGAGGTAGTACTTGGACCTAACTCTGCCAGTCCAGGCTATCTGGACCCTCAGAGGAATAGTCATGTCTAGGTTCTTGGGCCTCTGGCTGGGTTCCCATGGTGCTTCAGGGACTTGGGACCCCTGAGGGTGGTGCCATAGCCTGTACAGCATCTCCTCCAGGTCCCACTCTCCCCCTGCCTCCCTGTCCTTGGCCCCAGGATGTGCGGGGCAGCCCCGGGGACTTGGTTCTGCCCGCAGAGCTCTTCCTGTGTTCCTCTCCCAGACCAACACAGGCATCCGGAAGAACTTGGAGCAGGAGATCATCCACTACCAGTTTAAAACCTCCTTCTTTGACATCTTTGTGAGTGATCTTAGGGGCCCTAGGGGAGGGTTGGGAGCGAGGAAATGACTCTTTGGCTGGTTTCTCTTCCTTTTGCACTGACACATCCTAACCTGATCAGGAGATTTGGCTCTGTCCCTCAGGAAGCCCTCTGTTTTCAAAGAGATGAGGCCACATCTTCAGCCAGCCCTAAGTGGGAGGGGGAAGATAAGACCCCTACTCCTTGACTGTCACAACTAAGTTATGATTCAGCCATGTGAAAAGACCCTGTGGCTTGGAGTGTTAATTAGAAAGGCTTCCTGGAAGAGGTGGACAGGGAGAGGGCCAGGAGCTATCCTGTGCATAGTGAAGCCTCCTGTAGGGGACGACGCCCTCAGTCCTCTCCCATGTCCAGCAGGGAGGGAGGCCAGCTGCCTGCAGTGGGATGTTGGGGAAACTTGTCCATGGTGCCTGGTACCCCTTCCTGCCAGGTCCTGGCCTTCTTCCGCTTCTCAGGGCTGCTTCTGGGCTATGCTGTGCTGCGGCTCCGGCACTGGTGGGTGATTGCGGTAAGATGCCACTTCATGGGCAGCCTGTGGGCCCTGGGGGTGCTGGTCCTGGGAACGAGGAAGAGGAGGACTCACTCCTGGCCTCTGCCTTCCTGTCTCTCCCTCTGCCTGGACAGGTCACTACACTGGTGTCCAGTGCCTTCCTCATCGTCAAGGTCATCCTCTCCGAGGTCAGTTTCTCTGAGTCGGCCGGTTATGTCAGGCATTGTTCTGAGGTTCCTAGGCCAGAACCATTTCTCAAATGTTTGACCCTGTTGTCAGAGTTGGGGTGAGAGAGGATCCTGTCCTTTAATACTTCCAAGGAATCATGTACCTCACAGGGTCCTCAAATAGTTGTTAAAAGGAGTGGGGGATATTATGCCTGTTTGGCTGGCCAGGGTCGGTAGCCTCGGGAGAGGGGTTCTGCATTTGGAGGTGACTCTTTGCCAGAGAACTCAGCCCCTTGCCTCCACAGCTGCTCACCAAAGGGGCATTCGGCTACCTGCTGCCCATCGTCTCCTTTGTCCTTGCCTGGCTGGAGACCTGGTTCCTTGACTTTAAAGTCCTGCCCCAGGAGGCTGAGGAGGAGCGATGTGAGTGCTGGCGTGGGGTGTGGACAGGATTGAGGGGGTACGGAGAGGGTCATTGCAGCCCTTGAAGGGAGTGTTTCAGGCATGGGAGCCAGCTAGGTGCCATCTTGCCACCTCTGAGCTGGCAACCTGCAGAACTTGCAGGTGTGCCTGGATGGTGGTGTCCCAACTGCTTCCGCCATCCTGGGTCTGGGACAATGGCCGCCTGTCTCTGCCCCCTCAGGGTACCTTGCTGCCCAGGCTGCAGTTGCCCGAGGACCCCCTCTCTTCTCTGGTGCTCTATCGGAGGGCCAATTCTATTCACCTCCAGAATCCTTTGCAGGTGAGGGCTGGTGGGTGGGGGCCCTGCCTTCTGGGAGGGGCTCTGTGAGGAGTGGGTAGGCTGGGTGTGTTCTTTCTATTCCTTCTCTCAGGCTCCCTGGGGAGAGCCAGCAGCCCTCTCCCACACACACTTTTATCCCCCCCACATGCTTGCACTCATATACCTGTACCCGAGCCCCTCTGCCTCCCGCACGCTCTCCCCACCCCTTCCCATTGTCAGCCTCCTTGTTCTCTGCAGGGTCTGACAATGAATCAGATGAAGAAGTTACTGGGAAGAAAAGCTTCTCTGCCCAGGTACTTGCTGCCCTTCCCCACCCCACCTTGAGGGCAGACACCTCAGAGAAGGGCCAGGGTGGGATCTGGCCAGGGTGCGCTGAGGCTTCTCAGCAGAGCATCGAGCCCTGCAGCCTCCCAGTCACTGCCAGTGTCTGACCGTCTGTCATTCAGGCCGACTGGTCCATGCCTGAGACACAGACACAGGGAACAGCCAGAGCCTCAGGGACACCAGCCCAGACTCTGCACCTTGGGCTGTGTGAAGCCTCCAGAAAAAGAGCAGGACCCACATAAGACAGAGTAGGGGGCCCAGGCTCACCCCTTTCTCTGGCTAGGAGCGGGAGTACATCCGCCAGGGGAAGGAGGCCATGGCGGTGGTGGACCAGATCTTGGCCCAGGAGGAGAACTGGAAGTTTGAGAAGAATAATGTAAGGAGTATCCCTCCCACCTGGCCCTCTTGGGTGTGTTAGGCATTTCCTTTCGCTTCTCTGAGGTCTGAGGAGTGAATGAGCCCAGGGACAGCATGAGTTGAGGTCAGATCCCTGCCCCAGGGGAGGGCTTGGGCCCTGGAGTCATCATTCTGCAGGAAGCTGGATTGTAGGACACACCTGTCGCTCTCACCCCAGAACCCACCTTCCAACTGCTCTGCTCCCTGAGCTCCGGTCTTTGAAGGGAAAGCCAGGCCTCTGCGCTGTGTCCAGGGTTCTATTTTGTGATCAGAACACTAAACACTAAATAGAAAGGTGGCAAAGAACTTGGAAAACCCTCCAGTTGTGCTCTCCAGCCCCTCTGTCCTCATCTGCCCCTCTGGCAGCCCCCGTCAGCATGGAGACACTGCTTCTGGTCACGGCCACAACTGTGCTCTGTGCTTTTAACTTGATATCAGTAGCCTTTCTCTCCTGGTCGCTGTTATTTTGTCAGCTCCACTGTTTTTAGTGGCTGTTCAAATAGCCTCCATCCCTGGGTGTTTTCCACTCTGAGCTTGCAGAAGCTTCTGCCCTGCCTGTCACCCTTTCCCACACCACCTGCCAACTCCTCATGCCCTCTCTCTACCTTTCTGTCACCCTTCTGTCTCTGCACAGGAATATGGCGATGCTGTGTACACCATTGAGGTTCCCTTTCACGGCAAGACGTTCATCCTGAAGGTGAGTGAGGGAAGTGGGTATCCTGGACTCTCCTGCCTGAGGACACCAGGAAGGGTCCAGAGGGCCCTGTGCAGCCCCAGCCTACCCTAGGGGGAGGTGAGCTCTGGTGGGACACCTGGCCCCACCCAGCTCTCTGCCCACCCTGCCCTAGACCTTCCTGCCCTGCCCAGCAGAGCTGGTGTATCAGGAGGTGATCCTGCAGCCTGAGAGGATGGTGCTGTGGAACAAAACAGTGACCGCCTGCCAGGTGAGCCAAGCCCTGGCATCCTGCCTGCTCAGGGCACAGGGCACAGCCGTGTCCCAGCATGACCAGTTATCCTCAGGAGGCCTGAGGTCATGTCACCAAACCATGCCGTGTCTCAAGTTTTTTCATCTCTAAAATAAGGGCGATGGTAATGGTGTCTCCTCATTGGGAGGGTAGAAAGACGAAGAAGGGTACACATACAGCACCTGGCTTAGGGTTCATGAGCTGGGGCAGTTGGCTCGTAGAGGGACCGGCCAGAAAGGAGACTGGTCGGGGTGCCTGATGTGTTGGGAGCGTAAGACTCTTCTTGGAGTAGGCGGTGCCTCTCATCTCACCTCTCCCCCCATGGCCCTCAGATCCTGCAGCGAGTAGAAGACAACACCCTCATCTCTTATGACGTGTCTGCAGGAGCTGCAGGTGGTGTGGTGTCCCCCAGGTGAGCACCTACCAAGGCCCATGAAGGTCAGGCTTCCCCTGGCTCTACTCCTTGGGTCTCAGACTCAGCACCATAATCTAACTCTCCCCCTCATCCCTCCCAGGGACTTTGTGAACGCCCGACGCATTGAGCGCCGCAGAGACCGTTACCTGTCATCTGGCATTGCCACCACCCACTGCGCCAAGCCCCCGACACACAAATATGTCAGGTGAGCCTGACTTTGCCCAAAGTCATGCCCAAGAGCAGTGAGGACAGAGCCAGGAACACTGTGTACTGTCCGGGCACTTTCTCCTGCTGAGTTCACGTTCATGTTCTCTGTCCTGCTGGGCTTTGCCCCTCCTGGTTGCTAATCCGGGTAATCTTGCCACTCTGTCTGCTGGAGACTGGAGGCTAATGACTGGAGCCAAGCCTCAAAGGCTGGAGGCGGGCAGTGGGCCAGGGGAGACCACAGGAGGGACTGTTTAGGGAAGAGATTGGGAGCTCTGAGGTGGTTATGGGTTGGTCAGCCTCTGCAGGCTCTGAGATCTGGGCTTTTATCTTCCTGCCTAAGGAAACTTGGGCCCTCTCTTATCCTCCTCACCCTGTCCCCACAGCTTGACCTCCTAGGGTGCCTCCAAAGCCCCCAAAAGATGAGTTATGATCTGCTGCTGCCTGATCATAAGCATCCTCCTAGTTCACTCTGCTGTCTAATCTGAGGCTGTCTTGCTGCGTATGTCTTACACTTCCTATTCCTTTCCTTGGGTTCTAGCAGAGAGTCTTGCTTTTTTAATCTAAAACTGGAGGTCTGGTCTTGTCACCGTCACAGACTTGGACCAAGCTAATTCCCTCTCCGGAGGTCTGGTTTGTCACTGTCACAGATGGGGGGCCAAGCTCATTTCCCCTCTGGATGTCAACATCCTTATTTGTAGAGTGGGCTGAAGAGTGCTCAGTGGAGCTGTGGGGAGAATTGCATGGCCTTGGAATCTGAAGCATACTGCATAGACCTGGGGCCTGCTGAGACGCCCCCTCCTGGAGCTCACTGGCACTGCCGCCTCCTGGAGCCCTGCCCACTCCCCACACAGCCAGGAGCTGACCTGGAGACTCTGAACAGGCTGGGTGTAGCTGGGAAGGTAGTGAGCTCCCTGCCACTGAGGTGTGCAAGCACAGACAAGCTGTTTAGGAGTCAGACCTCCTGTGGTGGAGTTGGGGTGCTTCAGGGATACGTGTTCTGAATTCTTGACCCATCAGCTCCTTTTCTGCATCTAACCCGGTCAGAGCTGGGCTAGGATGATGGGAGGTGCACATGGGGCCTTATCTGGCTCCAAGGTCTTCCCACTGCCAGTGATGCCCTTCTCCTCAGGGGGGAGAATGGACCTGGGGGCTTCATCGTGCTTAAATCAGCCAGTAACCCCCGAGTCTGCACCTTCATCTGGATCCTCAACACAGATCTCAAGGTGAGCAGGGCGGGGTTCCTGGGGGGCTGGCAGCAGGCTGAGCCGAAGGGGGGGGGTCACTGCTACCAGCTTGATTGCTGTGTGACCGTAGGCAGCTCTTTGCCCTGTTTGGGACCTCCTATTCTTAGCTTCCTTTCTCTTTAAAGTCTGGGCTTGAGTCCTGGTAGTGTTTAGCCCAGATACTGTTGAGGGTCTGTTTCTCCCCTTTCTTACCTCAGACGCCTTCAGCCCAGGCAGGGGAGCTGGCTGCCAACCCAGCCCTGCCCGGGTCTGTTTGTGGGACTGGGGCCAAGACTCGGCATGGTGTTCTTCCTGCCGGGGGAGGAGGTGGCCCAGACTGCATACCAGAGCTGCACCTGCAGGCCGACCCACCATACCCGCTGTGGGGGCCGTTTGAGGGGGAGACCAACCGTGCTGAGGGCACGTCACATGGAACTTTTCCCTGTATCCCCAGGGCCGCCTGCCCCGGTACCTCATCCACCAAAGCCTTGCAGCCACCATGTTTGAATTTGCCTTTCACCTACGGCAGCGCATCGGGGAGCTGGGGGCCCGGGCGTGACCACACATCTGGCCTACCCTGCAGGCCAGGGTCCTGCCACCACAGCCTCCAGAACCAGAAAGGGCACCAGACAGTTGGGCTTCTTGTCCACAGAGGCCCTGGCCTCACACAGTGGGAGGACAAAGACCTTCTGCGCCATTGCCTCGGCCCCAGACCACTCCCCATCCATGCCAACTGTGTCTGGGAGCCCCTGCTGTGAGCAGGGCCTAGGCCTGAGCATTTGGACTCTGCCGGCTGAGCTATGGTGGGGGTCCGACCTGCTGGTGTTTACATGGTGTCCCTGCCTTCTTGGGGAGGATATCCACTGTCCCCCACCTTGCCAGGGGCAGGGTCTGAGTGGGGGCCCTCAGGCTTGGTGAGGCAGGGCAGGGCCCTGAGCAGGACCAAGGCCAGGGCAGCCTGAGCTCTCTCATCATGACAGCTTTTTAGGATTATTTCAAGGGTCTGGGACCCTTTTCCACATGAACTTGGGGAGTGGCATGGCCAGCGGGTGGGAGTGCTGGTGGTCAACCTCTGTCCCTCTCAGATTCTCGCCCTCCTCCAGGGCTTCCTTGGGTATCTTTGTAATTTGAGCCAATTAAAGAGCCGGAACTAAACCAGACTGTCCCTCCCGTCTGCCTCACCTATTGAAACTAGGGGTAGTGGGAGGGCTCAGCATGGCAGGGCCAGCATACAACATGCGTGCAGGCAAGTGCGTGCTGTCACGGGTGGGCGGAGTCAGTGGAGATCCTGTTCCTGGAATCCTCCTGGACACTCTCGACTGGGGGATGACTGGTCAGAGAAAAATGCACCCCCTTCCTGTGAGGGGAGGTCAGGTTGCCGTCTCCTCCCACAATGTGGTTGGGAAGTGTGGAGATACGGAGCAGTGTCATGCCAGCACCAGGCCTCAACTGTGCAAGTCCTGAGGCCAGCGGGGCCAAGATGAGGGCCTGGCTTCAGGGTGGCTGAGGCTCCTCGGCCTCTCGCGCTCCACTCGTGCATCCTAGAGCTCCAGGCCAGCGCTCTGTCCAGTGTACCAGGACACATGCCCCATCCCCAGTCTGCCCCTTCTTCCACCTGCCTGAAACCTTCCGAAAGTACCAGCTTGTTTAATGTCAAGGTCAGTGGGCCCTGTCCAGGTCCTCCTTGCTATGGTGTGTACCCCTGGACACACTCATGTATCCCTCTGAGCCTATTTGTTTAGTAATTGAACTCAGGCCAGAGCTGTGTGAGCCTGCCTGCGCCCAGGTGGGGTGTCCAAAGGCCATCCACCTCTAGGTGTTCTAATACTCCTGTAAGATCATCCTGCTTTGGGGTACCTCAGCTCTGGTCACTGACTTTTGGTTCCCCTACTCTGCCATGTCCTCATTCCTCCTCCCCCTATCTGCCACCCTGCCCATGAGCTTTGGGGTGCTCTGCTCCCTGGGAATGAGACCCAGCCCACTCCCGGGCTATGACTTCAGAGCTGGCCCCATGGCCAACATATTGTGACAAGAAAGTGGACAAAGTGAGACTTGGGCTCTGGGCCTAAGCCATGGTCACAGAGCACAGCCTTTTCATGTCCTATTTGGAACCAGGTCCTCTGACTGCTACCACTGTAGCCCCTCAATCCCCATCTCACCACACTTCATCCCACTTGGGGTTTGGGGTGTAGAGCTGAGGGACTGCCTTCTGCACCTGCCTCCCAAGCCCCCATGGGAAGGAAAACACCTGACCAGGTTGGTGCTCCAGGCTCCCAGCTGTGGCGTTGCCTCTGGTGCCGATCCTTACAGATGGTTGCACTGTTCTTTAGGTCCAGGAGTATGGCTGTGGGCCGTGCCCTTGAGTTCCGGCGAGAAGTGAGCTATAGTGGCAGAACCTAATGGCCTATTCAGAGCCTGAGGGGGCATTAGTCCCCTCTGTTTGCTGTTGTTTCCAGATGAACTGTCTGGCCAGGGGAAAGAGGTGGAGCAGAGGGCAAGTGCCAGGGTGGCACGGGGATGGACATGTGCTTGGCCTGAGATGGTGTTTCAGGAGTGGACGACACCTGAAGTGCCATTTTGAGGACCCCTGACCCCGCAGGGACAGCTTGGTATCTTCAGGAGCTGATTCTGACCTAGGGGCAGTCAGGGTCCACATAACCCAACCCCCATTCAGGGCTTACTGTCCCCCCATCAGTGAGTCTTGGCTCTGCTTATAGCATCTGACGCCAGAGGGGCTGAAAATAGTCCCTAGAGGAGGGGGAGGAAGGGGCTATTTAAAGGGACTGGGAGGTGCAGAGCCCGAGAGGAGTGAGGCGCGATCATGGCCACCTCGGAGCTGAGCTGCCAGGTGTCCGAGGAGGACTCTGAGCGCCGAGAGGCCTTCTGGGCTGAGTGGAAGGACCTGACGCTGTCCACACGGCCCGAGGAGGGGTGAGTCCAGCAGGGCCCTGCCTTTGCTCCCCTAGACCCCCCCATCCTGAGCCTTAAGAGGTGAGAGCACAAAGCCCAGGAGATGTCTCTGGGGGTGAAGGCAGGGATAGTGCCCCCTGGGGAGAGCAGAATGGAATCCCTCTTTCCTTCGGGTCCTGGCAGGCCCTGGGAGCACCCCACACACTAGCCTGTGAGTGGAGACACGCAGGAACTCACCGCCCCTCCCTCTCCTTGCCCAGCTGCTCCTTACACGAGGAAGATGTCCAGCGGCGTGAGACCTACCACCGGCAGGGGCAGTGCCAGGCGCTGGTGCAGCGCTCCCCCTGGCTGCTGATGCGGATGGGCATCCTCGGCCAAGGGCTGCAGGAATACCAGCTTCCCTACCAGCGGGTGCTACCACTGCCCATCTTCACCCCCACCAAGCTGGGTGCTGCCAAGGAGGAGCGCGAGGACACCCCCATCCAGCTGCGGGAATTGCTGGCACTGGAGACAGTTCTTGGGGGCCAGTGTGTGGACCGCCAGGATGTGGCCGAGATCACCAAACAGCTGCCCCCTGTGGTGCCCGTCAGCAAGCCCGGCCCCCTTCGCCGATCCCTGTCCCGCTCCATGTCCCAGGAAGCACAGAGAGGCTGAGCAGAGCTGTGACTCAGGCTCCATTCTGCCCATCCCAGGCTGGGCCCTTCCTGGCTAGGACTAAGGAGGGGAGCTGCTGGCCATGGATGCTTTGTAGTTTGTCCAGGATTGGGGGCTGGGGAAGGAGGGAGTCAGAGACCAGGAGGACTGGGTTCCCTGAGCTCCCAGAGGGAAGAGGACAAAGACAGTAGGCATCAAGGGTGGAGAGCTGGGGGCTGGCAATGCTAAGTGGCCCCAGCACCTCGAGAAAGGATGAGAGGATGGTGAGAAGGGAAGAGGTTCTTTAGAAAAGTGACAATGACATTGGCCCAGGTTTCACCTTCAGAGAAGGACAGGAAATATGTGACGGGCATCTGAGATCTTTTGGGAAGGAAGCTTGAAAACCTGAGGGAGGGGGACGTGAAGAGGACAGAGGCAAGGTGGAGCCCCCAACACCCTCTGTTAGCGCCGCAATAAACGCTCTATTATGCTCCAGAATGTCCTCTCTCCTTGTTGGTTGTAGGGTGTCAGTGTCCCTCAGGTCCGCTGCTGGGCAAAGAACAGCCTCCATAGCAGAGCTAAATATGGCAGAACAAGCACGTACACTTGATGCTTGAGGGGTGAGGGAGGGCAGGGACAGAGCTGTAAACAAGGCTGAAGCCTGTCAGTCTCCTTGCTGTGCCTGGACTCTGCTGCCCAGTCCTGGCTTCCGTACCCAGCCCCCTGGCACTGGACAGTGTTCAGCAGGCCAGCTGGCACCTAGCATTGTCTCATGGAGAACATGAAGCTGGCACCAGGACTGTCCTTGGGTGTGGAAAGGGTCAGTGACCAGTGACCCCAAGGCTGATTTACCACTCTGTTCTGGATGCAGAGAGAATGCTTGGCTGTACTTGGTCACTCCACCCTCCCTGCCCTGACAGCCCAGGGTGGGTTGTTGTTGGGGGGTGGTGGAGGGGGGTCAGGTTCCTGTCTGACCCCTGCAGCTGTTGTGGTGACTCATGTCCCAACCTGGCTGCCTGGCCCAACAAGGAGACACTCTTTGGGCCAACAAGAAGGGAGAGCCACGGAGGAAGCTTGGAGCCAGGGACGCTGGTCCTCTTGGCACATATGGTAGCCTAGCCAGGGCAGAGGGGTACCCAATCCAAAGGGCACCCACTCTAGAAAAGACCAGGCAGCACCTCCTCTCCATCTAGGGGACAGAAGGGGACACTCTGGCATCTTGACCTCTACGTACCAGACCTGGCCCTTTGCTCCAGTGCAGGGCTGGAGAGTGTGTTAGAAGAGCTAGAGACCCCAGACCCACAAGGACCCGAATCTGTAGACACATTACAGGGTCGGACTGCACACCTTTGAAGCCCCTTGGTTCTGAGCATGCGCTCTACGCCTTTCCCGCTTCAGGTTCCGGTGCCCCTGACATAACAGGAACGTCCTGAACCTTCCGACCCTGGCATTCCCCAGATAAGTGACCAGGATCCCTCAGGGCCTGCAGGAGCGGCCTAACTGTTCCTCCTGTTAAGTGCATTAGCCTCGCTCCTCGGGCCCCTATCGACACTGCCATCGGATGTGCGGGGAGCAAGTCCCGCTTTGGGGCCCTGGGGCGACCGCAGGGACAGTGATAGCCAGAACGGACTGTCCTTTCTGGACTAGGAGGGGGCGCCGGAAGACGAGGGGTGGTGTGGAGTTGGAAAACAAAAAAAAGTGGAGAAAGGGAATAGGGTGACATTGCTAAGGAAATTGAGTGGATGTAGGAAAGGGCTCTGGTTTAAGGGGACCCTGGCTGGGGTTGAGGTCTGAAAGAGGCTCTGGGAATGAGAAAGGGACCAATTCTTTTAAAAAGGAAGAGTCAGGCTGGGACATGAGGCAAAAGAAATGAGAGACTGGGGGCTACGGGGGACACCAGGGGTGGTGGGGCTGTAACCCGAACAACATCACCCAAGAAGGGACCTAGGAGTTGGGGTCCTGGAAGCAAATGAGGCCAAGGGGTGGCAGGGTCAGAGAGGAGTGATGTAGAGTAGGGGCAGGGTGGAAACCCAAGTTTTGGGGCCGTCCGTGTCTGTGGCTCAGATAACTAAGGGAGATGTATAGGCTCGGGGGCGAAGCAGGCCCTGGGGCTGCCCATCACTCAGTCACCGCCTCCGCAATGCAGGGGTCAGGGCGGGGTGGGGGGCGGGGGTTCGGCTGGCCGCAGATATAGGGGCTGCGAGGCGGGTGGGGACGCAGCTGGCGTAGGAGCAGCATGAACGACGCAGACCTGAGTGACGCAGCGGCGGGCACAGCCCAGGACTCGGACCCAGGCCGGCTGGCCGTCGCCTCGGCCTACCAGCGCTTCGAACCCCGCGCCTACCTCCGCAACAACTACGCACCCCCTCGAGGGGACCTGAGCAGCCCCGATGGCGTTGGGCCTTGGAAGCTGCGCTGCCTAGCGCAGACTTTCGCTACGGGTGAGCGTGGGAAGCTGAGGCACTGGGGATGGGAAGCCATCAGGGGGTGAAAGAGGCAAGCAGAAAAAGAGACAAGAGCCAGAGAGGGATCCAGAAACAGACAGGTAGTTAAGAGGTGCGAGTAGAAAAGAAAGAGGAGCAGTTATCTGTCTTTTGGGGGAGCTGGAGAAGAGGGAAACTCTAGAGAAAGGGAGCCAGGTGGAGAAAATGTTCAAATTGTTCAGAATCGAGAGAGTCGAGGGGGTAGTGTAGGAGCAATGGAGGCAGAGAGGGGGAGTGGGGAGGTAACTGGGAGAAGCTGTGAGGCAGCTGCGGGTGAGGTTCTCCATTGACTCCTCACTGTGGGGTCCGACTGTAGATGTGGAACCTGAGATCCAGACAGGTTCCACACCTTTCTCATGGTGTCAGAGCAGAACTGCACGTTGGACAATGTTCTTTCCAGATAGAGACACATAGTCTTAGAGAAGGAAGCAAAGGGGGAGAAGGAAGGGAGGGTATGATTGAGGCAGGCTGGGTACCAGGATCCCCTTCCTTTGCCCATCAGGTGAGGTGTCTGGACGCAGCCTCATTGACATTGGCTCAGGCCCCACCATATACCAGCTGCTCAGTGCCTGTGCCCACTTTGAGGACATCACCATGACGGATTTCCTGGAGGTGAACCGCCAGGAGCTGGGGCTCTGGCTGCGGGAGGAGCCAGGGGCCTTTAACTGGAGCGCGTATAGCCAGCATGTCTGCCTCATTGAAGGCAAGGGGTAAGGAATGGGAGATGGGGGCTCCCCATGAATCTGCCCGAAGCAGCAAGGAAAGGCTGATTGTGGGGCAGTCCTGAGCCCTGGGCCTGACCCTGCCTGGTACTTCTACACAGTGAGTCCTGGAGGGAGAAGGAGCAGCAGCTTCGTGCCAGGGTCAAGCGAGTCCTGCCTATTGATGTGCACCAGTCCCAGCCCCTGGGTGCCGGGAGCCTGGCACCCCTGCCTGCTGATGCCCTGGTCTCCACCTTCTGCCTGGAGGCTGTGAGCCCAGACCTTGCCAGTTTCCAGCGAGCCCTGGACCACATCACTACGCTGCTGAGGCCTGGGGGGCACCTCCTTCTCATTGGAGCCCTGGAAGAGTCATGGTACCTGGCAGGGGAGGCCAGGCTGGTGGTGGTCCCCATACATGAGGAGGAGGTGAGAGAGGCTTTGCTGCGCAGCAGCTGTGAGGTCCGAGACCTACGCACCTATGTCATGCCTGCCTACCTGAGGACAGGCGTAGATGATGTCAAGGGCATCTTCTTTGCCTGGGGCCAGAAGAAGGTGGGAGTCTGAGGGGGCCCCTATCTGCCCAGAATCCCTGTTATCTAAAGTGGCACTTAATAAAGGAAGCAGCCTCTGCTGCTTAGTGTCAGTGGTGTTTGTGACTTTCCTGAAATCCAACAAGGGCTCAGAGATCTCTTTTTGTGAGGGAAAATAAGAGGCACTCACAACCGTAGGCCTTCCTTCTAGAAATTTCCATAAGGATCTCTGAACCACTCATTCTTCCTAAGGAAAGGAAGGCTAAGGATAGGCCTTATGTATTTGAGCATGCTAGCTGATAACCAAAGGGCTGTGATTCGAGCTAACTGCTCCAAAGGAGAAAAACAAGGCAGTCTGCTTCTGTAAAGATTGACAGGCTGGGCAGCTCTGTCCTGCAGGGTCATTTTAAGTCAGAATCAGCTCAATGGCGGCAGCTCTCTGTCCAGGCATTGGCTATCCTTCAGCCCTTACACTCAGACACCGGCGTCCTGTTATTCTGTTTCTAGACATAGCTCAGAGAGGTCAAATGACAAATAGTGGAGTCTGGTTCAGACCAAACGTCTCAAATGATCTGATGTCTTCTGCTTTGAGGCAAAGAAGATACTCACACACTCATACATTGACACCCAGTGAGTTGGAACTGACTCATAGCTGACCCTCCACTGGGTTTCTGACTGTAAACTGCATGGAGATTTATCCCCTCCTCTCGTGGAGCAGCTGGTAGATTCAAACTGCCTGCCTTTGGGTTGGCAGCACAGCCTTTTAGCCACTAGGCTACCAAGCTCTCTAATTAGCCAAAGTAAGAGGCTGAAATGAATTTGTACGGAGAAGGGGCTGTGTAGCTGAAGCACAAAGGACAAGGACCTCCAGAAGCAGGAGGGGATAACTGGCATCTGGCTCCCTCCCTGGCCCCTCCATAAACTGGACTCCCAGCCCGGTATCCTAGTCTAGGCTGTCCCCACCTCACCTCTGTTTTCTGCCCCTTCTGATCAGCTTTGTCCCCTCTTTCCCACTCTATTTGCACAAAAGAGCTCAACAAGGGTGGGTGAGGCTCAGAATTGATTTATTAAGAATGCCCCTTGCTTATTATAAACAAAACTTGAAACCCTCCCATAATAAACCAACTAAGCCCCCATAGTTAGGAGTCCTAGTACAGCTCTCCTACTCTCAAGAAGGCACAGGGAGCAGGGAACCAGCACCTGCTCCAATCAGAGACCATCTTCGGGACACAAAGATTCGGGAGCTCCATAAGCTGCCAATCTATCCTTTTGGTGCAATAATATGCCAGGGCTAGTGACAACTGGCAAGGCTTCAGCAGGGAGCAGACACAGATGGCCCCTGCCTGTCCTGGGACCACTCCAGACAGATACCCACCCCGTGGAGGTCAGAAACCAGATGAGCCACAAGTTTCTCCCCTCCTCCTTCAAACTTCCTCCATCCACCCTCAAGTCTTTCAACTAATTCATTGTCCAACAAGCTGGCCCTCCTGTAAACTGCACAGGAGGAGAGTGCTCATCTTTCTCCCTCAGAGAATCTGGTGGGCTCAAACCTCCTGCCTTTGGGTTGGAAGCACAGCTACTAGGCCACCAGAGCTCTTAGGCTAAAGCAAAAGGGTTGGCGAGCAAGGAACTGGGGAAGGGGAGACTATGCCTTGGCAAGGAGAAATGAGGAAGGAGAGGAGCCAAAGGATTCGCATCTTCCTCCCTCCCTCCATCTACAAGGAGCTGGTTCTGCACACTGATCAGTTGTGTGAGGGCTAAGTGAGGTTTGGAGTCAAAAGGGCAAGAAGCAAAGGACAGGAAACTCACACACATGTACATGCATGCATGCACACAGCCTGAATCCCTAGATCCCAGCAGGTCATAGGGACAGACCCACTCTCTGCCTGGCTTGAGGCTTTGTGCAGAGCTGGTGTTCAAGAAATAACTGTTAATGGTGATTTGGTCACTCCATCCTACCCTAGCCTTCCTTCACTGTGGTGCACTTCATCTCAGATACCAGACTACCAGATACACTCAATCTAGGTATATTCTCCTAATCCACACTAATTTATCAACTCTCCCCAGTGCGCATGCACACTCAGAGACACACACACACACACACACACACACACACACACACTCTCTCTCTCTCTCTCTCTCTCTCTCTCTCTCTCTCTCTTCCTTTCCTTCCCTGTAAGTTATGCCACAGGGGTGAGTTCAGGCCCTGACTTAAAGAGCAGCCTAGCGTCAAAGTCTCAAGGTTCTGCTGGCCACTAGCCTAGCCATTATTTTTTTTTTATCAATTTTGACTGGTACAGGAGGAGATTGTCCTGCCTTCTCCAGCAGAGCATCTGGTGGATTTGAACCATTTACCTCTGGGATTGCAGTGCAGCTTCTTGCCACTAGGCCACCAGAGCTCCCTTAGCCTAGCCATTTTTGTGGTTTTGAGATTTGTTTTCTCTTTCTCTCCAATCCTATCCAGAACTCTCTATTGTGCTACACACACACACACACACACACACACACACACACTCTTTTTAAAAAAGCTCATAAAAATGTTTTGGTCCTAGAGGGAGGTGATGGTCACACATGATTATGAATATACTAAATGTCACTAACTGGTCACTGTGAAGTAACCAATTCTGTTGTATGAATTTCACCTCAATTGAAAACTACCACCCTTACACCCTCCCTGTATACTCTACTCACTCCAGCATGGCACCCACAGCCCAGGGTCCAGGCCATTGACCTCCAAGCATGCTCAGGTTCTCAGTCCAGAGCAGCAGAACGGGGATTGCAGGGGTCCCTGTGTCTAGCTCTCTGGGGTCCTGACTCCAAATAGGAGTGTGGAGTGGTGAGGCTTCTGGGGGGGGGGAGCTGGGGCCACTGTTCGGTGGACCACTCCCTAATCCTAGCAGCTGGGTCCATTGAGACCCCAAGTTAAAATGAGAGCACTCCTGAAAGCACACTAACAGCCAAAGTGCAAGCATCCACTGCCACCTAGTGGTGCACCAGGGTAGGGCGGGGGACAGGACGTCCTCAAAGTCCTCCTGTCTCTCTCTCAGCTAAACAGAGGGAAGACCACTCAGGCAGCAGGGGGTTCTGGGGAGGAGGCTGAGGGGGGCAGGAAGCAGGGTAAGCTCTCTGCTCAGTGGAGTAAAGCACACAGCTCCCTGAGTTCAACTCCAGGAACAAGAGGGGCTGCCCATTCTTCAGCTCTGGATGCTGAAGGGCCAGGCTCAGAGGAGGCTCTAAGACTTGTAAAGGCCATGAGGGTAGCAATGGGTTGGGCAGGGTATAACAAATTATCTCAAGAGTTGGGGAGTAGGGAAACCAGCAGGGAGGAAGAGAGGGCTCTTAGCGTCTTTAGTCCAGTTTGAACTTGGCCTCTAATTCCTTCAGCAGGTACAGACTGTCGTCCTCCAGGAACCTGTGGACCAAGGGGGGCGCACACTGAGGCACAGTTCTGTGCCTGACTCTTCTCAGGGCAGGCTTGGGGAGAGAGTGAAGTGGGGCCCTGCTGCCCCGCCCTCAGGAGCAGGAAAGGAAGGAAAACCCAAGAAGGTGTAACGAACCTGAAAAAGAGCACGTGGACAGGAATAGTGCTGATGTGCCAGATGGCATGGGCATCCAGGACCCAGAAGAGAGGTGGGAAGTCCAGCAGCTCGAGCAGGGACAGCCCCTGCAGCAGCATGACCACGGCCATGCACTTGCGCACGTGGGGCAGGCGCCGGTGGTTCCACAGGCACCAGGCCAGCCACCATACCATGTTCACCAGGCCTGGGCCCCACGGGGACAGGGGCGTTCACTTCCTGGACTGCCTTTCCCTCCCAGGTCTCCCCACCCCCAGGGCCCTGCTCAGCGTCTTTCCTAGGTCTCCCGCTCTCCAGCCTCATATTCTTTTCCCTTCCCCACACCTTAAGGGTTCCTCTAGAACTTCCCCCTCAGGGAACGGCACCACCCCCTCCTGCACCCTCCTCGGGTGCATTTAGGCCAGCCTCACCAATAGCCACGTTGGCCATCAGGTTGTAGCCGTAGTCAAAGTGGACGAGGCTCAGGTACGAGATGTGCGCAGTCAGTAGCAGCAGCAGGAGGGCCCGGAAGGCACTGACCACAGCTGGCCGCCGCAGCCCCACAGTCCTGCCCATCACCCAAAGCTGCTCAGGGGACATGTAGCCCGTCCCCCCAGCAGTGGTCCCTGAAGCATCTCCAGACTCCAACATCAACATGTGGTCCTGAAAGCCTGGGCCCCTCTCCCCAGCCAAAATGGGCTAACCGGGCAGGCCCCCACCCTCCAGAGGACCAAGTGCTTTAGATCTTTATAAAGACCGAGTGTTCCCTTACTAAGACAGTCCAAGGGGTGTGTGTGTGTGTGTGTGTGCACGCATACCTGTGTGCATGCTGGGAAGCTAATGAAAAAGGCACTGGAGACAGCACCCCCAGGGGCAAGGTGGGGAACCCCACTGCCCTCTGGGCCTGATCCCACCCCTGCAGGTGCTAAGGTGGCCTCACCTGACACAGCACAGGTAGATTGAGTGGAGGATGACAGTGGATGCACAGAAATAGTCCATTTTCTAAGGACAGGGAGGGAGAAAGAGGGGCCAGTGTGAGAGGCAGGACCTGGGCAAGGCCTTCTGGAGGGCAGCGCCTGGAGAGGACCTACCGCCAAGGATGCGCACAGAGATGGTGGCAGAGGCACAGTGTCTCCTGCTTCTTCAGCCTACGGCTATTTCACTCCTGAATTGAGCAGGCAGGCCCTCGTGTTTACACCAGACAGTTTTTAAAATGTGTTCAGCGGCTCGCCTTGAGGAGCACCCCAGGAATGCTCCCGCTGAGCCTCAAGCACAAACAAGAAGCACAAGCTGAGTCCAACAGCATGAGCCCAGGTCCTGACTGTGTTCCTTTATGAGTCAGGTGACCCTGCTCACTGAGGCTCAGCTGCGTCATCAGTTAAAAAGGAGTGATGTAGTCTGGTGGTGTAGTCTGTGGGGCATTGCACTGCTAACCCAAAGGCCATGTCTCTTTGGTAGTTCGAATCCACATGTTGCTTTG